CTCTTTATTTTTCCTCTCACGTGTTATTAGTTGGCACGTGTTTAGTTGGTAATTGGTCATTATGGGATTAGGTATTAATACGTGAGTACTGTACTTCTTCCCCAATTAATTATGAACTTTTACAGAGCTTGAAGCTCAGTTGAAAATGGAGTTCGCACCATATCGATTTGTTGTTTGATTTACACATATTATCTAGAAATTACTCAAATCTACATAATCTTTCCCAGTTTATCTCATGTCATGGCCAACACCTTACTCTAAAAAATCCAATGCTTCTTCACCACATTCTTCCACGACTAGTAACTTCACCCATCTTCTATACGAAAAANNNNAAAAAAAAAAAAAAAAAAGAAAAAAGAAGACTCTTCTCTTCATTTTATCCTTCTTTTGACTGGTCTCGTACATCAGGAGGTATTGGTCAGAAGAAAAGTTACGAATACGGTGCACTATGTTTTCAGGGAAGTTTAGCATCAAATGAAGCACCTCAATAGTCTTTCTTCTAAAACCCTCTCCTCGGTCTCATATTGCACCAACTAAATGGGTGTCCGTGTCCCGTTTCGTCAATCCCCATCTCCTTTCCAAATTCAACAATAGAGGATGATTTTTATCTCAGACGAAAGCTCAACCGACTTCATCTAGCTCCACAAGCGTGTTCTTCAGCGATTTAGAATACTTGCAGATAACAACTCTATTCTCTCTAGATATGTAATACTTGCAGATAACAACTCTATTCTCTCTAGATATGTAAGACATCGTCAGCCTCTAGAATAGCCACCTTGACGCCCACCATTTTCTGCCAAATTCCCAATTAAATCATTACAATCCTCTCCAAGCCACCATAAACTTCCCCCATTTTCCTTTCTCCTCCTTGAAGATATCACATTGCACAAAAAAATGCTTCCAACACTTTGCGATAATCCCTTTCAATTCTGTATTGCAATCTTTTAATGGACCAGCACACAAACAAACCATCTCCTTTACCCACATGATCACAAACCTCCCATCCGTCCTGCAAATTCAATCCTCTAAAACACGATAGCAAACAATTATGACTACGAACACTTAAGAATACAAACTTTATTTATTTGTCTTCCTATAAGTACATATTTCTCACAAACTAAATGGGTATTGTTATTGATAACTAAACAAAGTGTACTCCAAATCTACATCAAGTATAGTGAAGCCTCTTTAAGGAGAAAAAAAAAACCAAAA